CTTGAAAAGGGATTTTTTTCAAAACGAAATATCTCCCTTTGGAGTGGACTTTGAGATTTGTAAGTTTGAAGATCTTTTTTATGCCCAAACATACACACTGCACACTGACTAAAATTCAAAAAGTGAAAAAGCATAATAGGACCCCTTTAAAAACAAGTTTTGTACTAATTATTTCTGACCTTTTGACGTTGATGAGAATTCAGATTCGGACCAGTATAGTAGGAATCCTGATCGTTTGGATTCGCTTGGATTCCTACTGAAATGACTGGATTTCACCCGCAAAAATTCACTGAACAATGGTAAATGGGACTGCACCTTTTTTCCCCCATGTTTTTTTAGACATACTTTGTGACGGGAAAATGCCCTCCCATGCCCTTGGCCTGTAAGAGGGTCGGCCTTTTTGAGCAGCGTCCCCCGGTGGAGCGCGAAAAGAGCCTCATGCCTGATTGGCTCTCGGTAATAACTGCCTGTAATCTTGCTCTGTTTTTGTTATTTCAGTCCTTCTGTTTTTCATTTGTTGCTCCTAAATGGTAAATATCTGATTTATGTGTAATGTTTAACCTTTCTCTCCTGTAGAAAAACCTGAAGTGCATTTATGAGCTTGTAATAATGTTTAAAGGGGTCCTATTATGCTCTTTTACAAAGTCTTGATTTTGTTTTGGAGGTGCACTCCAACGATCTGGAAACTCCCAGACTACCATTTCTGCAGAAGAAGCCGCCGAGTCTCCAGGTCCAGGAGCACACTAGCTTCTCTCCAGGCATGCGTTACCCTCCCAGCCTTCCTGAGGACCTTGCTCAGACACTTGAATCTTCACCTTTGGGCTCCTGCAAAAAGAAAAAAGACAAGACTGCTAAATCCACCAAGCCGTTAAAACTTCCCCCGTCAGCTGAGGAGCTAGAAGTGGTTCTCAACCAGTTACCAACCCTTTTATCAAAAACTATCACTGTTCCAAGTCTGTGACGTTCAGAACATTTTCGTCTCGCACCAGTTCTGAGGCCAGAACCGAATTCATGCTTGTCTGGAAATGGAGCTACGAATGGTCCTTTCAAGTGAGCGATTATAGTATCTAATGTGTCAAACGTGCCTCCGATGGGACGAAACCCAGGTGGAGATGTTGTCACTTTACCGCCTGCTCCAGTTGCACCTGAACTGAGCTCTTCAAGGACTATTCCTGTGAAAAATGCTGTAGAAACACCAATGGGTGTCTCTGGTTCTCCACAGAGCGCTCAAGTTGGTGCAACCCAGGGGGACGTAATCATCACGTCACCTGCTGCTTTGGCACCAGAGCTGAATCCCTGTCCTTCAGGGCATATAACTGTGAATCAAACTGCACAAATAGTCACCTCTAATGCTCTAATTACTCTTCAACCGCCGGTTCCCGACACCTTAATATGTCCCACCACCATCATAAAGAAGTCCACAGCCAACGTCCCATCGGCTAAAGATAGTCACCACTGTTTTACTCTGCTTAAAGTTACAGTGGGTACGGAAAGTATTCAGACCCCCTTAAATTTTTCACTCTTTGTTATATTGCAGCCATTTGCTAAAATCATTTGTTAATTTTTAAGGACACCAGAGAGCTGTTTCTCACACTTTCTGAATCCTCTGGGAGCCCGACGCCCAGCATTGAAGGGGAAGATGCTGACATGGAGATGCTTGTGAGCAGGAGAGAGAAACTAGAGGAGCAGAAATCAAATGAAAGGCAAAGCAGCAATAGGCTGACGGGGGTGGAGAAGAACAGGGGTGTTTCAGACATCCTGTTTGTGCCAGAACTTCAGGTCAGATCATTTTTAATGCTCACTGAGATATTTAAACTGAATACTAATACTTTACTGTAATACAAAACATTTTCATACTGTAATGCAAAAATACTAATTACATTATTGGTATTTGATGTTATTATTATTAAGTAAATTATTATTAAATAAAATGTTAAATATAATTTTTTATATATTGTTGCATTTTTTATTTTTATATATATATCAAAAAATATATATTCTGCTCCGCTTTGGATAAAAGCATCTGCTAAATGACTAAATGTAAATATAATTTTGATTATTCTTTTTACTATTTTTTTTTTTTTACTTTTTTAATATTTAATATTATTTATTATATTATAAATTGTTATATTAAGTTTAAATATTTAAGTATCCTATCTCTAGGAATTACAAAAACAAATAGTAAAATGTCTACATAATAATGTTATAATAAGAAGAATTTGTCATGAAATTATATGCTACAATGCAAAAGCTTACTTTTTTTTTTTTAAATAGGCATCTATACAAAATCTAATTTTTTCTTTAGGGGGTAAAATATGAGCAGGGCTTGTTTTCATAAGATTCGCCCAATAATAGCAGTTCCTGTTCATGCATTTTGTATTTA